ATCTCATCTCCCCCAGGCTCGCATGCCAGAGCGAAGCCGTGGCCATCCAGGCCATCCGCAACGCCCGGGGCAACTCGCTCTGCGTGGACTGCGGGGCGCCCAGTGAGTCTCCTGGGGGGCAGCCTGCGGGGGCGTGGGGGTGGGCATTGGTGATGTGGGGCCACGGGCCACGGGGGACCATTGGTCACACAGTGCCGTGGGTCACGTGGGGCCATGGGTTGCATGGTGCCATGGGCCATGTGGGGCTACTGGCCATGTGGGGCCATCGGTTACTTGGTGCCATGGGCCATGCAGGGCCATTGGCCACGGGGTGCCGTTGGTCATGTGGTGCCACGGGCCATGTGGTGCCATCGGTGACACGGTGCCATCGGCCGTGCAGTGCCGTGGATCACAGTGTGCCACAAGCCGGGCCATGGGCTACCCAATAACCTGGGCGAGGAAGCACCATGTGCCACATGACACCACGGGCCATCTAATGCCGTGGGCCATGTCATGCCGTGGGCCACCCCATGCCCTGGACTAGCAAGCACCGTGTGCCACGTGATGCCATGGGCCACACTGTGCCATGGGTCACGTGCCGCCATGGGTCACACAGTGCCATGCACCGTGGGGTGCCACAAGCCAAGGGGTGCCACGGACCATGCAATGGCCGCATGCTGCCATGGGCTGTGCCGTGGCCCGTGGGCCATGTCATGCCGTGGGCCACCCCATGCCCTGGACTAGCAAGCACCGTGTGCCACGTGATGCCATGGGCCACACTGTGCCATGGGTCACGTGCCGCCATGGGTCACACAGTGCCATGCACCGTGGGGTGCCACAAGCCAAGGGGTGCCACGGACCATGCAATGGCCGCATGCTGCCATGGGCTGTGCCGTGGCCAGACAGCGCCACGGGCCATGCACTGCCCCTGGCACGGTGCCGACGGTCTCTGCACATTTCCCCCCCCAGACCCCACCTGGGCCAGCCTGAACCTGGGGGCCTTGATCTGCATCGAGTGCTCGGGGATCCACCGCAACCTGGGCACCCACCTGTCCCGCGTGCGCTCCCTCCATGTGGGCCTCCTGGCCATGTGGGGCCATCGGTTACTTGGTGCCATGGGCCATGCAGGGCCATTGGCCACGGGGTGCCGTTGGTCATGTGGTGCCACGGGCCATGTGGTGCCATCGGTGACACGGTGCCATCGGCCGTGCAGTGCCGTGGATCACAGTGTGCCACAAGCCGGGCCATGGGCTACCCAATAACCTGGGCGAGGAAGCACCATGTGCCACATGACACCACGGGCCATCTAATGCCGTGGGCCATGTCATGCCGTGGGCCACCCCATGCCCTGGACTAGCAAGCACCGTGTGCCACGTGATGCCATGGGCCACACTGTGCCATGGGTCACGTGCCGCCATGGGTCACACAGTGCCATGCACCGTGGGGTGCCACAAGCCAAGGGGTGCCACGGACCATGCAATGGCCGCATGCTGCCATGGGCTGTGCCGTGGCCAGACAGCGCCACGGGCCATGCACTGCCCCCGGCACGGTGCCGACGGTCTCTGCACATTTCCCCCCCCAGACCCCACCTGGGCCAGCCTGAACCTGGGGGCCTTGATCTGCATCGAGTGCTCGGGGATCCACCGCAACCTGGGCACCCACCTGTCCCGCGTGCGCTCCCTCGACCTGGACGACTGGCCCCGGGAGCTCACGCTGGTGCTGACGTCCATCGGCAACGCCACCGCCAACAGCATCTGGGAGAAGAACCCGCAGGGCCGCTGCAAGCCTACCCACGAGTCGTCCCGGTGGGTGTCCTCCCCACCCGCCACGTCGCCACTGTGCCACCTCCCCGGTGCCACACGGTCCCTGATGCCACCCGTCTCCCCAGGGAGGAGCGGGAGTCGTGGATCCGGGCCAAGTACGAGCAGCGGCTCCTTCCCGCCGCGGCCGGCGGCCGAGGCGCCGCTGGGGGAGCAGCTCTTCCACGCGGTGCAGGAGAAGGACCTGGAGACGGTGCTGCTGCTCCTGGCCCACAGCAAGAAGGAGCAGCTCAATGTCAGCACCGGCGACAAGGACCGGCGCACGGCGCTGCACTGTGGGGCACATGGAATGGTCATGGGCACCATGGCACGGCCAGGGGGGAGATGGCATCGTCATGGGGACCGTGACATGGCTATGGGGGACATGGCATGGTCTTGGGGACCACAATGTGGCTATGGGGGACGTGGTGTGGTCATGGGGACCGTGACGTGGCTATGGGGGGAGATGGCATGGCCGGGGGGA